TGCCTTCAGGGCAAGTCTGGTTTGGCTTGAGGATAAGGGGATGAACCACAGCATCCAGAGCCTGACTGCTTTGTTTCAGCAGGCACTTAAACACCTCAGCTAATGGGCAGGCCCTCCCCCAGGTTTGTTTTGAGATGGATTTGACAATAATGCATTCTTCTACTTGGCTCTGCACCAACACCTAAGGCATATTCAGAAGGGGGTGGGGGTTGTGGGCCGGGGAGATGGCTCAGTAGAATAAGCACTTCCCTGGCAAGCACAAGGGCCTGAGTTCAACCCCCGGTCCTGCCAAAAAAAAAAAAAAAAAAAAAGTAGGGGGGTTGTGTGATGAGTGCCCCAAAGGGGGAAAAGAAAGGATCTCCCTGAAAGATGTACTGCATGTTTAGCCGCACAGTGATAACAAGTGTGCTCAGACACCTAAAAATACAGGCTTGATAGTAGTGTTCAGAACTGCACAGAAAGAAAACCTTAGACGCCCCAAGAGAGGAAAAATACAGTATCTTTAATTCTCCAAGGATTGGTCCATATAACAGTAGTTTCTTTTAGAAACTGTCTTGCCTTTGCAAGATAGATTTTTAAAAGAAATGTTCTCACCTTTCCTTTAAAGTTGCTACTTCAGGGCCGGGGATGTGGCTCAGTGGCTGAGCACTTGCCTGACATGCACAAGGCCCTAGGTTCAACCCTTAGCATGACAGAAATAAAACATTGCTGTTCAGTTCATTTGAACACTGGACACATCCGTCTGTCATCCAGGCAGACCTGGAATCGGGGTCAGAATCCATGCGTGGGTTCACCCGCTGTAGGCCTCGCTGGCTTCCATTCAGCACTCTGCACTTTGGAGCAGACAGAAAGAGCCAGCAGAGGCTGTGAGAGTCCTGCGATTGCTACCAGCGAGCATGGCCAGCGCCCACCCTGCTTTCCAGAGAAGACAGTGCAGCCATCTCAGTATCTGCCTTCTTCACCCATAAACAGTACTTCCATGTAGGGTGTCTTTTAAGAAAAGGAAAGGTGACTGTAAAGTTCCAAGCTGATCTGTAATTCAGAAGGGCCGGATGAGTTTGTTCTACCCATGGGCCTTTGCTTTGTGGCCACGTGACTGCCCTGGGTAACTGGCCCTCTTCTGCCTTTCCTATAAGCCCCGGTGTCTCAGCGTGTGTGCTTGCTCTATTCAGGTTCTGTCTTCTGCTCTAGTGTTTCTTCATCCACTTTTTTTTGAGGGGGAGGGGTGCTGGGAATCAAACTCAGGGCCTTGCGCTTGCCAGGCAGACACTTGTCCTGCTGAGCTATCTCCCCAGCCCTCTCATCCACCACTCTCCATCTGTTGTTCTGCCCATACTTTTTTGCTGCAGTGTGAAAAAGGAGTGTACCTGACATGGTTCTGAAACATCCAGTGTCAGCCCACGTTCTGCTGTTTTATCAGCTCTTTGACCCAGGAGCAGGGCACTTAAGATCCCCAACAGCTTTCTCTGCATGTAAAGTGCAGGGAGGGGACAGGGTGTTGTCCAAGGCTCCTCCCCTCCCGCTCTCAAGCTGCAGTTTGCTCAGGATTTCTAGCGATTTCCAAGTGTTCAGTTTAGGATCCCTGCCATTTACTAAGCCTTTCCATTCTAGGAATTTACTAATTTGGAAAGTCACAGCAGTACACAAAGCTGTGCAGAATGCCTCCAGAGCAAGCCTTCTAAGAGGGAAGGCCCAAGTGGGTGGGGGGGCAGAACTGGGGATTGAGCCCAGGGTCTTCACAGGGAGCTACATCCCCAGCCTTTTTATTTTATTTTGTTGCTATGGTTTTATTTTATTTTTTGTTTGGTTTTGAGGCAAGGTCTCAATAAGTCAACCATGCTGGGCTTAAACTTGCAATCCTCCTGCCTCAGCCTCCCAGAGTGCTGAATTTACAAGTATATGACACCATGTTCAGTTCAAAAGTGAGTTTTGAAAAAAAAAAAAAAAAAAAAAAGTGAGTTTTGATAACTGATTTATAATAAATTTAGGTATATTTTATGATTCATTCCTAGTTTGTAATACAGAGCTCCTAAGAGATCTTTTTGTTCTGACACTTGGTCTGGACCCTGAATGCTGACACAGAGCTAATCTTGGGTGATTGGAGCATCTTTTGTTCTGATGAGGCAGCTCTTGCTGGATTGCTGGTGAGGGGGTGGTCGCCAGAAAGACCACACCTTGACGAGAGGGTGGAGCTTTCAGTCTCACCTGCGTCTTCCAGGGAGAGCAGAGAGGCGGGGCTCCATCATGTCTGTATGAGGAGGCCTTCGTGAAAACGCTGAACTATGGGGCTCTGGGTGGCAGAACATGGACAGATGCTTGGAGGATGCTATGCCCAGAGACAGTCCTGGTGTCAGAGTGAATGGACAGGAGACACCCAGTCCCTGCCCCTGGGTATGGTCTTGGTGTGTGAAGGGAGCCCGTGTCCCTGGTATCGGAAGTGAAGGCCTATGCAGAGTCTGTGAGTAGGAAGACCAGTCTGGGCTTTTTGCTTTCTTCCTCAGCTTCAATGTATAACAAGAGAGAATTGGTTAGGGGCTGGTGAGATGGCTCAGTGGTCTAAAGCACCTACTTAGAACAAGCTTAGCTAAGCAAAAGCACAGGGACCACGGTTCAATCCCCCAGCACCACATGCCAGCCAGCTCCGCCCCCTGGTGGGCTGAGCTGCCCCCTCACACCCACACACACAATAAATAAAATACCTATTATTAAAAAAAAAAGAAAGAAAGAAAGAATTGGTTAGTGTGCACCGAGCAATGGGTCAGTGACCAAAAATCCCTGCCCCTGGGGACGGACGGATGGACTGACTTTCTTTCTTTCTTTCCATGGTACAGGGTCTCACTACATAGTTCAGACCCCTAGTGATCTTCCTGCCTCACCCTCCTCAGTGCTAGGATACAGGCATATGCCAACAGCCCGGTTTCAGCGGCCGGCGCAGCATGTGGTACCAGGATTGAACCCTGGTCCTTGCACTTGCCAGGCAGGCACTTAGACCACCAAGCTGCGTCCCCGGCCCTGGGACCTCCTTTCTAGCAGGGAACACAGGCAGTAAGTAATCAGTGAAAGAATGTGCTATGTCCGCAGATGGTGGGCAGTTCGGTCAGAGTGTGTGTTTAACCTGCGCAAGACCCGGGTTCATCACCAGCACCACAGAAGAAGATGGGAAGCCCTGTGGCAAGAAGCCCGGGAGGAGGTGGCAGGGGACGCCATGTATGGCGAGGACAGCACTAAAAAGGGGACCAAGTCAGCCTCATGGGGCAGGACTCGAAGCTGCCAATGGGGTCAGCTACACATATGCCCGGGAGGGTCATCCTTCAGGCAGGAATCACAAGGATGCTGGAGACTGAGCCAGCTCAGTGCAGGGGATAACATGGCCAGCATGGATTGTGGGTTTAATCCAAGGGAAATGATCAGGTTTTTTCAGGGTTTGCATAGTGAAGTGATGAGTTTATTTTCAGGTTTTAGAAGGAACCATCTGGCCACTGTTTTGGGAGGGTTGGTTTTGCAGTATAGGGGACCAAACTCGGGACCTTGCACTTGCCAGGCAGGCACTTAAGCCCTTGAACTATATTCCCAGCCCAAAGCCAGTGTTAAGAATAGGTTGTCTGAGCCAAGCCTGGTTATTCATGACTGTAATCCCAGCACTTGAGAGCCCAAGGCAGGAGGATCTCCTTGAGCTGAAGACCAGCTTGCTATATGTAGCAAGATACTGTCTCCAATAAAAAAAACAAAAAGAGAAATTGTCCGGCGCAGGCATGAAGGCACACACCTGAGAGACTGAGGCAGGATTGCAGATTCGAGGCTAGACTGAGCAATTTAGCATATCGGTAGAAATCTACTCTCTCCTGTTAATTCAGTTTTGATTTTACACTAACACCGAGCAGTACTTCTTAGTGTTCCGGGGCCTGGAGCTTCAAGCAGCTCTTGGATCTCTTTCAGGAGTGGGCATCGGTGTGGTCCACGCAGGGTACGAGCGGCGCCTGGCCCACCACCTGGGGGCGCACAGCACGCCCTCCATCCTGGGCATCATAAACGGCAAGGTCTCCTTCTTCCACAACGCCGTGGTCCACGAGAACCTGCGGCAGTTTGTGGAAAGCCTGCTTCCCGGGAACTTGGTGGAGAAGGTGAGTACTGCGGGGACCACATGACTGTGAAGAGCCCGCATGCTATCTAGGGGGACCCCATCCACAACCTGCAGGCCTGACATGGAAATTACCACTCAAACCAGGTCGTTTCATTGACGTCTATAGGTAAGTGTTGAGGTGCATAAAGTCTGGAGACTGGGAAGGTTCGCTGTTGTTAATAATCATCTGTTAGATTTTACCCTGTCCTAGGAATCTGAGCCTAATGTTACAGTGGTCCTTTCTAAACAGCAGACATTAGATCATAGCAGAAGCTAAGAAATTTATTCTGGCTCATTAATCTGCTTATGGAAAGGAATTTGTCTTATGAATTTGAAGTTTTTGTTTGTTTGTTTGTTTGTTTTGTTTTGTTTTGTTTTTTGTCCTTTTGAGGCAAGGACAATATGCAGCTGAGGCTGGCCTTGAACTCACTTTGTAGCCCAGGCTGGTCTGGAACTCCAAACAGTCCTCCTGCCTCAGCCTCCCACAAGCTGCAGTTATGGGCATGCACTATCACCCCCAGCTTGAAAATACTCAAGTTACATTATATTTGTATATTTAAATATCGTGTCTGTAGAAAACACTATATTCTATGAAATCAAATATTGTTTTTAGAACTTTAAAACACAGCGATGGCTAGGGAGATAACAATGGCCTAAGCGCCTGCCTGGCAAGCACAAGGACCTGAGCTTGATCGCTGGTACCACATGCTGTGCCCAGCCACAGTAGTACATGCCTGTAATCCCAGCACTCGGGAGGCTGAGATACGAAGATCACCACAATTCTGAGCGGTATAGCAAAACCCTGTACCAAATTAATTAATTAACCCTGGGGGCCAGGGAGATGGCGCAGTAGAGTAAGCACTTCCCTGGCAAATGCAAGGATCCAAGTTCAATCCCCGGTTCCGCAAAAAAAAATAAATAAATAAACCCTGGGTGCACTGTGCCACCCCCGACACCCAACCTGGTGGTGCACACCTGTAATCCCAGCACTGGGGCGGCTGAGACAGAAAGATCACTACAAGTCTGAGCTGCATAGTGAGACCCTTATTAAAAAAATAAATAAAAGATTTTTTTAAAAAAGAATTTCAAAACAAGATGATAGGAAATTAACAATGGTTATTATATTGCATATGATTATTTTCAAAATAGTCGCTCAGGGGGCTGGGGAGATGGCTCAGTGGAATAAGTGCTTCTCTGGCAAGTGCAAGGGCCTGAGTTCAATCCCTGGTTCCGCCAAAAAAAATAGTTGCTCAGCTTACCAGATACAGACATGCAGAATTGATCAAAACATATATGCACGAATTGTTCTTTATGTATCATAATGTATACATTGTTCCTTGTGTGTATACACACACACACACACACACACACACACACATACATATATATCCCCTCCTTCTTTTCTGCTTTCCCCATCCCAGTTGTTCTTTCCTTTTAAGCAGTTTCTTTCCCTTTCATGGTATATATTGTACCTTTCAGATTTTATTTACTCTCAGGTTCTTATAGTAGGGAGACTATGTTTGCAGATGTGGGTCTCGTTTATTTCACTTACAATTTTGGTCTCTAATGCATCCATTTACCTATAAAAGCACTGAGTTTATCTTCCTTTATAGCTGCTCCATTGTATAAAAATCCCACATCTTTTTATCTACTCCTCAGTTGATGGGTGTTTGGCTGTTTCCAGGATTTAGCTATGACAGATTGCGCTGCTGTAAGCATGGGTGCAGGTATTGGTTTCAGTTCTTCTGGGATATTTTAAAAGATAAAAAGTAACAAGTAAAACAAAAAAAGTAGCAAGTAGATGTCAGTGAATGAAAGTGTCTAGTGTTCAGGTGGGAAAGGCCACTTTATGTTCCTGTGCATCATTTAAAAATGGCCAGTGTCAGGCGGGCAGCGTGGCTCACAGGTGGCATGGTGTCATGGCCCAGGCCCAGGGCTCAGTCCCCAGTGCTGGACCAAGGCGAAAAGGCAGGCGTTCAGCTGCGCACTGCAGGAATGGAGTTGGCGAGGCGCGCTCTGCAGGCCTCGTGGCTGAGCAGTGTGCGTGCGCCTCGAGGTGTGTTCTGTAATTAGCAAGAACCAACTTTAGGACTCAGCTTGTGCAGTGGCCTCAGCAGTTGTTTAAGGGGCTGGGGAGATAGCGCAGTAGAATAAGCGCTTGCCTGGCAAGTGTAAGGGCCTGAGTTCAATCCCCAGTTCCGCAAAAAAAAAAAGTAATTGTTTAAGCAAAATCATTTCTTTTTTTTTTTTAATTTTTATTTATTTTACATTTATTTATTGTGTGTGTGTGACCAGCTCAGCCCACCTGTGGGCGGGGCTGGCTGGCATGTGGTGCTGGGGGATCGAACCACAGTCCCCAAGCTTGTTCCAAGTAGGTGCTTTAGACCACTGAGCCATCTCTCCAGCCCCAAGCAAAATCATTTCAGTCTGCAACAGCTGAAGCAAATGAAAATACCAACTCTCTCTATTCTCTTTTAAATTTTTTATTAGCACTTAATAATCACGCTTGTCATAATAGAGCTGGTACCTGAGTATGACACGTCTTAATTTTTTTTTCCCTTGCCGTCCCCTCCTTTCGTCCTTCCATCTCTTGGTTCCCTTCCCATTTGCAAAAGATGTATCTCCATGTTTCCTGGTATCTATCTTTTTATTTTGCTCTTTACTTCTATGCTTAATAGCTTCAGTCAAAAGAGTTAGTTGTCTTTTGTGGAAGGTTGGCTTGGGGAAAGTTGTTTTTCTTTTTTCTTTTTCCTTTCAGCACAGGGAATCATATTTACAACCTTGCACTTGCCGGACAGGTGCTGTGCCACTGGGCTATATCCCTGGCCCTGTTTTTCATTTTTTGAGACAGGAGCTCAATGTATAGTTCTGGCCTTTAACTATTATGTAAATCAGGCTGGCCTCAGAGTCAAAGCAATCCTGCCTCAGGCTCCAGAGTACTGGGATTGTAGGCATGCACCACCACACCCAACTTGTATTTTTAAATTTTTTATAAATAATCTGTTCTGGGCTGGTGAGATGGCTCAGTGGTCTAAAGCACCTACTTAGGGGCTGGAGAGATGGCTCAGTGGTCTAAAGCACCTACTTGGAACAAGCTTAGCAAAGCATCAGGGACCACGGTTCAATCCCCCAGCACCACATGCCAGCCAGCCCCGCCCCCTGGTGGGCTGAGCTGGCCACACACAAACACACACATAAATGAATGTTTAAAAAAAAATAAATAAAAAACTAAAACTTTAAAAAAAATAAATAAATAAAATAAAAAATAAATAAATAAAGCACCTACTTAGAACAAGCTCAGCAAAGCACAGGGACCGCAGTTCAATCCCCAGCACCACATGCCAGCTAGCCCCGCCCCCTGGTGGGCTGAGCTGGCCACACACACACACACACACACACAAATAAATAAACTTTAAAAAATAAAAAAAATAAATAATCTGTTCTATATATTTATCTCCTGACTAGAGCATAATAATGTTGTGTAGGGCCGGCCTGACAGCTCAGCAGACTAAAGCACCTGCCTAGGCAGAGTACAGCAGCCAGGGTTCGATCCCCAGCGTTTCATGCCGGCCCCACCCCTAGGGCACGCTGAGATGAGGACTAAGTCTGGGCATGGTACTGAGACTGGGTGTGGTGGCGCGTGCCTATAATCCCAGCACTTGGGAAGCTGAAAACAGAAGAATCACTGTGAGTCCAGCCTACATAGTGAGACCCTGTAGACCCTGTCCTAAATACAGAAAAGTAAATAAATAAATAATGTAAAAAATTAACATTATTTATGTTGAATCTAACGTTCTGGTTTCAATTTAAGGTTACCAATAAAAACTACGTCCGATTCCTCTCAGGCTGGCAGCAAGAGAACAAGCCTCACGTCCTTCTGTTTGACCAGGCGCCCTCTGTGCCACTGATCTACAAGGTGCCCATGTGCGGGCAGGGTGCTCGCGTTCTGGGGGTGGAAAAGAATCTCTGGGTTGCACATAGTGGCTTGTTTGTCCTTATCGGAAGTACAGCTAGAGCATCGCTGATCATTTCATCCAAGTCTGAAATATTCCAAAATCTGAAGCTTTTTGAGCACAAACCTGAAGGACGGAGGGAGGGAAGGAAACAGTTCCATGTGAGACCTCCTCTCTGGGTCTCAGGGAAGGGGCAGACACCTGTAGTCCCCACAGGCTGTGCACACTGCGTGTGTGAAGCACGCGAGCTTTGTGTTCAGATTGCATGCAGCCTCAGGATCTCACTACGTCTCCTGTACCTGCGCTTCAGAACTGGAAGAAAATCTGAACCACTTCCCATCCCAATTTCAGGCAAATGTTGCTTGGCTGTAGGTGTTATGGATGTGGGAAATGTTTGGAAACCTGAAGGTTTTCTTCGCCACTGCCCTTGCTACCGCTGGCAGCTGTGCCAGTTCTGTCCCTGCAGTGTCATGTATCTTCAGCAGAACCTGGGGGCAGGGATGCCATCCGTGTTTAACAGACTGAGATGCAGGGCACAGGAGGCTCCCCCCTCACCGGCACTGTTGCCTGACGTTGGGAGGGAGAGGGCCCCAGCCCCTAGCACAGTACAACCATCTGGCCTGAGTCCCCACAGTCTGTGGCTCACACCCGGGACAAATCTCAGTGAGATGATTATTTTACCTTTGAAAAAAAAAGAATTAGTTGTGCTTGCCTTTGTTGGTGCAGTTCTCGTGCGGGGACCGCCTAGAATTCCTAGAAATGTAGGGATCGCCAAAGACGGGGCTGGGCTCCCTAGGAAGCAGGCTCCCAGGATTGGTCGCCTGGGTGCCTGCTGACCACTTCACTGTCTTCTCTCTGTTCTGTCCTCGCAGCTGACCGCATTTGCATACAGAGATTACCTGTCCTTCGGCTATGTGTTCGTCAGGGTAAGAGGAGCGGAGGAGATGACGAGGCAATACAACATCAACGTGTACGTGTCTACCATTCTGGTCTTCAAGGAGCACATCAACAAGCCTGCTGACGTGATGCAGGTACGTGATCGGCCCCACCCACCTTCTCGTGCTCGAGCAGCAGGACGAGCACAGCAGGTACCAGAGAGGAGAAACCATTTCTTCCACTGATGTGCACAGTTTAAAACAAATAGGGGCCGGGGAGATGGCTCAGTGGAATAAG